CCTGCGTGCTCCCTGCGCCGTCGGGGCTGCACGAAACCCCCCGGGCCCCGCGTCGCTGCGAAGGCCCCCTCGAGCTGCCTTCGCACCGCGTTACCCGCGCCCGTGCGGGGCGGGCTTGCTCGGGCCTCCTCTATTTTTAACCCCCGTCCTCCCCCACGTGGAAATGTCTCACCCGCCTCATCAAAGCCTGCCTGCGCCCTGCTTTTCAAGGGGAAACCAAGGATCGAAGTCACCAGTTGGGGCGCCACACGAACCGCCCGTGGGCTGGGGAGCCCGTTACTTGCCGGCCGCCTGCAGCACCTTGTGTCCCCGTGAACACGGGTACAGCGGGCTCCCTCGCCCTGACTCGAGCTTTGCAGATTTCAGGTTTCACGAGCTGGGCAGTTTAGGCAGCCCTCACCCCGAACTGAAAATGGTGCATTTCCTACCCGTCCCATAGTCGTTGCAACCTGATCTGTCTGTGGCTTGGCCCAGCCAGGTGACCTGTCCAAGACTCCGTGCAGACCGGCTTCTGCTTGTTGCTGCTCTTCGCCTGCCTGCAGCCTGGGCCGGACCTCACCTGGCTGCGCCTACCACCGCGGTGACACCGCTCGAGCCCAACAAGTGTCTGCACAAGGCCTGGGACCGCGCGGAACCGGTACTGGTGTCTCACGGAAACTTCTCGGCTGTGACCACTTCAAAGTATACGGGCAGGTTTGTCACTTAAAACTATAGGAGTTCCTACTATTTACCTGCAGACTTACATTTCCGGGGCAAAGAAGGAGGCAAGGACCTATGAGATTCCCCCAAATTATGCCGGAGCCATGCCACTCACGGAGGAGTCAGCAAACATGTTTGAATTCCAGCTCCCACCCTGGCTGGTGAGCTGCCCAGATATCTTTTACCTTCACGACTGTATCCTCACTTCTGAATTGGGGGTAATCATAGCTACTTCTTAAGAGTTGTTTGGAATTAATGCATTTAACGCACCTCAAACCAAACCCACTGTCATCCTGATTCTGACTCAGAGACCCTAGGACAGGGTAGAACTGCTCCATAGGGTTTCCAAGATTCAAAATCTTTATAGCAACAGGCAGCCTCGTCTTTCTAGGAGAGGCTGGGGGGTTTGAACTGGGGCCTTTGCTATTAGTAGTCAGATGTTTAACCCACAGGGCTACAAGGGCTCCTTTAATACATATTGAAAGTTCTGAATACAAGTTGGCTTTTATAAGACATAAATTTCAATCTCCGTCAGACTTGTTTTTAACTATCAGTTGCCAAAAATAAGTAGAACGGGGGAAAGTATGACTAACACACTCTGGACAATGACAAAAAGATCTCATAGATGACTACTTTTTCTGAGTTGTCATTAGTTCCATCGAGTGGGTTTCGACCCTTAGCATCTTATGCCCAACAGATCAAAACACTGCCTGGCCCTGCACCATCCTCACAATTGTTCTTATGTTTGAGCCCATTGTAGCAGCCACAGTTTCAATCCATCTCCTCAAGGGCTTCCCCTCCTTAGCTGCTCTCTACTTTACCAAACATGATGTCCTTCTCCAAGGACTGGTGTCTCCAATGTAAGGAAGACAAAGTCTCCCCATCCATGCCTCTAAGGAACACTCTTCCCAGTGCTGTGCTTCTTCCAAGACAGGTGGGTTTGTCCTTCTAGCCGTCCATGGTACTTTCGACATTCTTCTCCAGCGCCACAATTCAAAGGCACTGGTTGTTCTTCAGTCCCTCCTCTATGACGTTCTTCAGCCCCAGCATTCATTCGGATGCATCGATCTTTCTCTGGTCTTCCTTATTCAATGTCCAATTTCCCTGTGGACAGGAGGCGATGAGACATATGAGGCACATAGTAGTAGATGCAGATAGAGAGGGAAGAAAGGAGGGAAAGAATTCATGAGCAAGTGTTGGATAAAACTATCTTTTAAAATTATAATATGAATGATAATGAGATTGTTAAAGCTGTATGTATCATCTTCCTCCTTAGCATCAGAGTTAATGTTTAAAATTTCTGAAATGTTAATTAAACTGTGCAATACCTATCCATTGCTAGTCCCCCAAGTATTATTGTTAGATGCCTTCCAGTCCGTGTTAGCTCATAGTGACCCCATATGACAAACAAACAAACAGCCACGTGGAGTTCTTGAAGCCTAGTTGTTAAACAACAATGTTGTTGCTGCTGCTGCTAGGTGCCTTGGAGTCCGTTTTAACCCCTAGTAACCGTCTGCACAACAAAAACGAAGCATTGCCTGGCCCTGCCCCATCCTCACAATTATTCCTATGCTTGAGCCCATTGTTGCAGCTACAGTAACAATTCATCTCTTTGCAGGCCTTCCACGTACTTGCTGCCCCTCTAGTTGCCAAACACGATGTCCTTCTCCAAGGACTGGTCTCTCCTGACAATATGTCCAATGTATGTATGATGAAGTCTCACCACCATCCTTGCCTTTAAGGAGCACTCTAGCTGTACTTCTTTGAAGACAAACTGGTTTGTCCTTTGCAGTCCATGGGACTTTCAATGTTCTTCTCCAGCACCACAATCCAAAACATCAATTCGCCCGCCTTCCTTATTCGATATCTAACTTTCACATGTAAATGAGGCCATGGAAAATACCATGACCGAAAGAAGAAAATACCATGACTTGGGTCAGGTGTACCTGCGTCCTCAAAATAACATCCTTGCTTTTCAGTACTCTGAAGAGGTCTTATGCAGCAGATTTGCCTAATGGAATACGTCTTTTGATCTCTTGACTGCTGCTTCCAACAGCATTGATTGTGGATCAAAGTAAGACGAAATCCTTGACAATTCAACCTTTACTCCATCGATTATGATGTTACCTATTGGTCTGGTGATGAAGATTTTGGTTTTCTTTACATTGAGTTGTAATCCATACTGAAGGCTGTAATCCTTGATCTTCATCAGCAAGGGCTTCAATTCCTCCTCACTGTCAGCGGGCAGGGTTGTGTCATCTGCGTGTCACAGGTTGATAATACGCCTTTCTCCATCGCTGATGCCACGGTCTTCTTCATACTAGTCAGCTTCTCTGATGATTTCTCCGCAGTGAGACTGAATAAATATGGTGGCAGGATACAACTCTGGTGCACACCTTTCCTGATTTTAAACCATACAATATTTCCTTGGTCTGTTTGCACAACTGCCTCTTGATCCCTGTACAAGTTCCACATGAGCACAATGAAGAGTTCTGGAATTCCGTTCTTCTCAAGGTTATCCACAGTTTGTTATGATCCACACAGATGCATGCCTTAGTATAGTCAGTGAGACACAAGTATCTTTCTGTTATTCTCTGCTTTGAGCCACGATCCATCTGACATTGCCAATGAGATCCCTTGTTCTACACCCTCTTCTCAATCTGGCCCAAACCTCTAGCAGCTCCATCCCAATATATTGCTGCAACTGTTGTTGAATAATCTTCAGCAAAATTTTACTTACATTTGATATCAATGCAAGAGTCTATTAAAATAACACAGCAATAATCTACTAAAAATAACTATTAGTAATATTCAAATCATCCAACAATTTGAATATGATGACAGTGTGTCGTAAAATAGAATATTATGCTACTATCAAATACATTTAAAAATAACTTTTAATAACTTAGATGTTCCAAATACAATGTTGACGGAATAAGAAAAACTATCAAAAGATTGATAATACAATCCAATTTTGTAACAGGAGCTTGTATAACAGGAGTCCTAGTGGTGTAGTGGTTATGAGTTGGGCTGTTATGGCCCAGATTAGCAGTTTGAAACCGCTAACTACTCTGAGGGACAAAGATGAGGCTTTATTTTCCCATAGAGTTCGCTACCTTTGAGTCAACATTGTCTCAGAACCCACAGGGGCAATTCTGCCCTGTCCTATAAGTCAGAATGAACTCAATGGCAGTGAAAGGTACTGTCATAAATACTGAGGAAAATGTGTAAGTAAGGATGTCAGAAGCCATTCGTTTCCCTTGTAAAACAGCCAGGGTGCTCGGTGCATGCTTGTTGATTTCAGTGGTGAAATCATCAATCCAACACATTTTATTGAGCATCTACAAGATGCCAGCCAGACCTTGGGGAGACAAGGGGATTTC